CTGGGGCATCCTGAATTTTAAATAAACAAACAGATTTTTTTTTCCAACTGTTTATAAGCTGTGGAAGAAACAGGTGTTATCCAACACAGGTAGAAATTTCAAACTGTCCAAATAAAAATTCCCTCCGCACCCCCTCAAGCAGGACTTCTGGGGTATCTGTGAAGCCATAATTCTTGTTGTCTGTAGTGTCTTGTAAGAAAAATAGAGCAGAGAAGACCTGAATGTGGGATGAGGTCAAGCTGGATAATTTCTCTTTAAAAAGTGTTTCAAGCCCCCTTTATCCTTCATAAAGAAGCAAAAAAGGTCACACACCCATTTTCCCCCTTTGCGAGTCACCTTTAACACACTGGCCATGCCCCAGGGCAATTCTCACCTTGCCCCGCCTCCCAAGCAAGAAGTGAGGTTCTTACCCACGAAAGCTTATGCTCCCAATACTTCTGTTAGTCTTAAAGGTGCCACAGGACCCTCTATTGCTTTTTACAGATTCAGACTAACACGGCTACCCCTCTGATACTTAAATGCGTTTTTAATTGCTAAGGGGAGTCACACTCAGAGGCTTGCTATGTGAAAGGGGTCACCAGTATAAGCGTTTGAGAGCCGGTGCAGTAGGAGCCCCCGGCTAGGACGCCTCCCCTCCAACAGCTACGTTTCATGGGAGAGGTCTGATTTCATGGTCTGTGACATGCTTTTCACAGCTGTGAATTTGGTAGGGCCCAATTCCTATGGTAGCTGTAGGGGTAATTTATAGCTACAGCGATTCTGGGCTATTTCTGCTCGGCTTTTGTTATGCCCTGCTAGAGTTGTGCTCAGTGCTGCAGGCCGTGGAAACCCAAGTGGCCTTAGATGCGGGTGAATTGCAGACACAGCATTTAGGCCGGGAACAGGAAGGGACACTTTGAACACTGGGACTGGAGTCACCCTATTGCTGCCTTTGCTCTGATTTCAGGATGGAATGGGGCCTCCAGCAGTGGGACACTCAGCCCCGAGACAGAAATTGGGCTGCACTGTACCGACAAAGCTCACAAGCGCTGCCCGTCTGGACCCTGCTCTGTCCTGAGTTTGTTCTCTGACGCTTTGCAAGGGTACTTGTCCCGTAAGGCTCCCAGCTTTCCTAAAGCCCTAGGGCCTCCTGCAAACATACACACAAAACCAGCTCTCTGGCACTTTCGCCACATTCATTTTGGTTTTGTTCTGGCCAACAAGCTCTCCCTGGGTGAGAACATCTCACGTGGAGTCCTTGTCCATCTTGGCATTTCTCTCGTTTCCCTGGGCCCCGTGTGCAGGCCCTAGCTTTGCTTTATTCATTGTCGAGTTTTCCCATTACTTTACTGCTAATGCTCTGATTTGGGTACATCACATTTTGTTGCACCCTGCACTTTATCTGAGAACTTTTGCCATTTCCCCTTGACGGTCTGACCCCTTCATGCATTCAAGTTCACCCAACAGTTTGCATGTTCTTCTAAAATACACTCTACTGTAAATCAATTTATGTTCTGTACTCCTTTTCTGTTCTCTCCAATCTTCTTAACAGTTTTTATCTGGCAGAGACAGACATGCAAGCCTTTGGATGCTTGTCTGAAAGTAAATAAATGGGAGGAAAATTGGGAGGGATCCAGTGAAAATGTACAAGTATCAGAGGGGTAGCCATGTTAGTCTGGATCTGTAAAAAGCGACAGAGTCCTGTGGCACCTTATAGACTAACAGACGTATTGGAGTATAATGTATTTGAGGATGCACAGATATTCTAGATTCTGACTGCTTTGACTTATGTATAATAATCATCCATGTCACCTGAGCTCCCACAGTCTCTTCCAGGGACCAAAAGCACAACAAAAACATTTTGCTTTTTCAGTTTACAAATCGCTGCTTTGCTTGTAAGTTGCACTTATTGGAATTCTGTGCAACCATAAGGAATGTTGGAAGGGAAACTTGCTAGGCTACGGCTTTGCAGAAAGCTACAGAAAAGCAAAAAAATAAAGCTTCCAACTGGATAAAGTGAAAAGAATCATCTCCACCACGTCTTCACTCTGCCCAGCAATCTGTGTAGTAAGGTTGAGTGACAGAGAATTACATTGAACTGGAGTCTTTGAGCAATTTAAAAATTCCTGGTGGCTTAATATAACTTGAACGAGATAAATTGTTAGGTTTTGATCCTGCAAACACGCACACGAGTTTTCCAACTGAACTCAATGGGAACATTCAGATGTATGAAGTTACGGACATGCATAAGTGTTTGCAAGATTAGGGCTCTCATTTGTGTTTTTAAAAAGTTTTGCTTGTGCTTAGTTCATGCTTACTGGTTATTTTAGAGATTCTGATCTATTACGTTTAACTTTCTTATTCTCTAGAATCGTTCATATAAATTAAGAATTTAAATTGCTTAAAAGATTTTGTTTTAAATTGTTTTAATTAATAATGCCCTTTACCTGTATGGAGTAGGAGGTGTTATATTCGTTATAAAGATTTTTTACAGGGACATCTGACCCATTCATCGTGCAGTCGCTGTAGGGATAACCCATCCGCTCAAGTTCATCCTGAAAGAAAACCAAACCCACCAAATATTTGTATGCTGTAGTCATAGTTCCTCTCTGTCACATGTTTGTTTGGTGCAAGACCCTTTCAGACACACAGATCCTGCCAGTTCCCCGATCTCTGCCGTCCTGGAGAGGCTAGAATAGCCACAGGTTGCAATATTCAAGGAACATCATCTTGAGGAAATGCATGGAGCTGAACTGGAATTCTTTGGTGCTCAGAAGCGTGGGGCTTCCTGGATTCCCCAGCAAGAACCTCCTCAGACCCCACTGCTCTGTGACCCCATCCCATTGTCTCTTGGGGAGGATTAATGGCAGATCCATGGGTTCCACCCTGTCCCAAACCCCAGGTTATAGGTTCCGGTGATAAATGCATTATCACGCATAGACGGGAAGGATGGAGTGAAAAGCTGGGCTCTATGATGAGGGGGTTGTCTTAGCCCCAGTCAGTGCGTGGCAAAGGCTCACAGAGGCACAGCCAGCAAGACCAGTACCTTATTCATTGAGTGTACAGAAAGAAACAGGACACCTGCTGTCTGTATAATTCTAGGAAGACCACGATGATAATGAAAATGATACTATGCTCTTCAGACTAATGACAGGGTCAGTCAGCACGAGTAACATTCTGGTAACTGCACCTTAGGGAGAAGAAGGGGGCAAGGAAGAGCTGCCCTGCCCCAAAGACACCATCCAGTTCCCTTAGCTGCAGTGTTAAACGTAACTGAACTCGCTTAGCCCTGCAGCTGCTGCCACTTGGAGTGAAGAGGCAACAATTACCTAAGCTGCGGCTTTTGGCTTCGATACAGCAGTTACCAGATAAGTTGCATTCAATCTTTCATAAACAATGTTCCAAGCTGTAGCTAGTAGATAACTTGACTCTTTTGGATTGAGCCAGTTCAGCCAAGACTGAAAACAAACTTGGCTGCGGTCCCATCAGATACAGGAGTATTGTTCTCCGGTGGTTTGTTCTGATGAAATGTCACACATACCACTAATACGCCGATAGAGGTTTCTGTCCCAGACATGGCATAGATGCCCTGGTCTTTAAGAAACGGGAAACTCTTCTGCTCATGCAGCATAAGCCTGGCCCCAGCGGTAGATGTGAGGTAGGGAATGTAGTCTTGTTGGCTGATGTCCAGAATTAACTTCAGCCCTGTGGGCACCAAACACAATATTCAAAAACCCACAACATACAATGCAGCGTTTATATATAAAAAGGGAATGTTTAGAGGAACTCTCTTACTAGGCAGGGAAATCCCTCTCCGCTGAGAGAAGAGAACAGACTCTTCCTTCCTCCTTAGATTGACCATTGTTACACTTGTTCATGCTTTGAAAAGGACTCTTGCACTCAGCCAGTGTGTGGGAAGGAAACACCTGATTCTGTGGGTGTTTTCCCAGGTATTCAGCTGAGATGCACTTTTCTTAAAGTCATCCCATTATTCTGTGTTACCCTTTGCCATTTCGTATGTAATCTATGACCCTCTTTGGGGTTTACCCCCTTACTAATCCTGGCAGTCAGTTATCATTTCCCTATCCATCCCCTGTGCCCCCAAGAACTCATTCATAAGAACATAACGGCCATACAGGGTCAAACCAATGGTCCATCTAGTCCAGTGTCCTGTCTGCCGACAGTGGCCAATACCAGATGCCCCAGAGGGAATGAACAGAACAATCATCACGTGATCCATCCCGTCGTAGCCCTAGATGATACCATAAATTGGCCTCTTCATAACATGTAACAGAACTTGCTTGCTGCAGATGAAACATTTCCCAGCCCTCCTGTTTCCTTTGTTCCTTGGGGTTTTAGTACTTACCAAACTCTGCTCCCGGGTTGGAAGAAATCAGGGCTTCCTCATCCATTCCCCAGTTAAAGATGTAGCAGTTGCCATGGTCAGGATGGTAGATCTGGGTGAAATTTCTGTAAGAATCATGCACAATAAGGTGTGACCTTCTAAGGTGGTAAAAGCATGGGACTAATTGATCCCATGTTTTGATATCTTGTCGTTATGCCCAGGCTGTACAGGTAGCTTGTTTATTTGCTGCACACTCAAATACAACCGTTTCTTTTGGTATGCGATGCTCCGTTTTTAAGTGGTATCGTTTCAGCCAAATTGCTCTCCTGAAAAATAGCACCAGCAGCTCTTTGTGGGACTTGTTTGAAGGTTGTTTCCATTAATTTCCATGGCAAGATTTCATTTTTTCCTATTGAATCTGACAGTGTCGCAGATTCACTGTCCCATAGAAATCCCTCCTACTTCTGAGACAAGCCTGGTGCTGGCTGGCAAAGGGAGCAATACACTAGGTGCTAGATCAGAGCTTCAGGTAGGTGGAGGTGCAGTGTCTTTACTGGTGTGAATTCTTTCAGTGCGCTTTACTTACGGGACCCTAAAGCACTGGGAGGAGGCTTAAATGGTGTCATCGATATGTTGTACTTAGCCAAAAACCCAAACAGAATTTAGAATATGGTATTCGAGGGCCTTGGAAAGACAGTATTTTCCAGGATCAGCAGAGGCAGACTGGGGGAAGGGGATGTCACACATTTAAACACAGAACTAAAATGCAGGTGTTCCCTCTGGGAATGGAACAAACTGCACGGGAGATGCTGTGACTTGAGCCTCAGTTGTGCCTAAGGTGCATTCAGTACGTCTGGAAGCACAGCCGTGGTGACCCCACAGCACGGGGCTAGCCAGGGTGCATCTCCTCTGGGCAGGTTAGCGCCACTGGCAGTGCTTGCATCAGGGGAGCACCAGGCCTGACCTGGCACAGAGAGAGGGCAAAGGCTGCTTGAAGCACCCACCCCCTTTGCTCACCTGGGCAGGCTATAGACACAGTCTTGCCCACAGAGCCAGCATCTCAGAGGTACGTGCTGTATGTGACGGAAAGGAGACTGCCTGTGATTTTCTATTGAATGCTACAGTGTGACATAAGTGTGGCACACCCAAATAAGTGCCTGGCTTAGGGCTGTGATAACTGACTCGCCCTAGGGTTGTGATAACTGACTCGCCCAGTTTGGATAAATACCCAACTATTTGCTTATTGATAATTCTTATAACGTCCTGTACAGAGCAGTACTGCCGGAAGGGCTCGTTACAGCCTAGGCCGGAGTCATACACTCAGTTCTGCAGATACAGAGGGTTTGTCAATCGCAAGGCGTGGGGAGGGAAGAAGTGTGTAATCCAGCAACCGGTGTTAGGAAAACGTGTGTAACCGAGGGCTTGCCCTTCTACACTGGGCCACATGCTGTGCTCTAGGGTTAGTTCTTCAGACAAACTCTCACAGGAGCCCATTGGGCTCTGACAGTGCTCGGCCCCTCTGAAAATCAGGTCGCTTATTTATGTGCTCAGCTTAAGGCTGTGAAGTTTAAAGATTGGCCTTAGTTCCTTGTCCGTGGCCATGAGGAGTCAGTGACAGAGCTGGGATTGGGACTCCTCTGATGCCCTGTCCTGTGCTCATATCACAGACACTCCAGTAGCAGGGCAGAGAGAAGGGATGGCTGGATGAGTAACGGTTGCTGAGCTGAGCAGAGCACCTCTCCGAGGTCTCCTGGCACCAAGGGAAGTTAGTACGCTCTCAAACACAGATGGGCAAGTACATCTGTCATGTGCATTGGCGCACAGTCTCTCCTCTGTTAGCAGGTGGAGCCCCCACTCTTGTCAATATAGGTTCCACTCTAAGAGCACGTGGAGGATACAACCCTTCATAATAACGAGCAAGGCCATCAACGTGTGTGGGAAGACTGCTGAGCGGACATTTGGTGCCCAAGCGCCCTGCAGAGTAACGGCTCTCACTCCATGCATGGAACTCCACTGACATCCAAATGGGAATCAGCAGCCTTGGGAATATGCCCAGGGCAATTGGCTTTGTTGCTGACAGGAAGAAACAGTGACAATGCCCAGGCTCTCTACCTGGTACACAGACACACTGGCATTGTTCTATATTGGGACACTGGGTACAAATAAGACCATGACAGAAGAGTAATAAAAGTCTTTGTGCTTATGTTAGTTCCAAATCATCCAAAATGATCCTCCACCAGTAACCGCAGGCGCATTTTCAATGACTCAGTCTGTACAGATGGAAGAAGGAAGATGAGAAATGGCTACGGGTCTAATCCTGCAGCTGTGAAGAGCACATGGTCCCCACTCATTTGGAGGGGAGCTTGGAGTAGTGTTGATATTAACTAATCCATAACCACCCTGCAGCCCATGTACATGTCAGCTCTTTTGCTCCGTAGGGTCATTTCTATTGATTGACATGAATATTATACAGAATATAAATATTACAACTAATATTTGCCAGCAAACTCCTTTGCAATGCTCCTATTCAGAATAAAATTGATCTCCGTTACCCAGATTTACCAACTAAACCGTAAGTGTTCGCTTCTCAGTATGCCAATCTATACCTGTAATTAAAGTAAGAGCACTATCAGAGTTCACCAGGAGGGTTTTTCTAATTGTGTGTTGGAGCCTGTGGACAAGAATGAGACACTATAAGCAGGGAAAGGGAACAAACTCAGATCAAATAAAGACCAACTTGAACCTGCTTCTAGAACTCAAACCAACCCCATCCTGAGAATATTTTACTCTGCCCCTGCATGTCCACTGCAGCTGAGATCACAACCAGAAATCCTGCGGGATACGTTGGGAGCACTGGCAATCTCATGATTCACTGAGAAAAGCTTACGAGAAGCAGCCACCCCCTGAAGCCTATCGCAGTAGCTTTGTCCATCACTAATTACCGGTCAGGCCAATGGTCTTTGAGGTTCAAGTTTTTAATTGAGGTGTTTTTTTTTTAATTAAAAAATATTCTGCCATAAAGCTGATTATATGGGTTGTTTCCCCTGCTGCACTTCACTCTCATTGTGAAAGAGAGTCAAGTGGAGGCTCTCCACTAGCTGGGATCACCGAGATAGAGCTGCTGCATGAACTCAGGTGTCTTTTTCTTTTTTAAATAACTAACTATTTAAGAAGTTACCTTACATTTTGGCTGGAGGCTTTACCAGGTACTGGTTACCATGTAAACCAAATGAGATCCAGTAACTCTCCAAATGGGGAAGCTGCGATGGTACCTAGTTCAAGTTTAGGCCATTTAATAATTTGGTTTGAGATTCTGTTTTGCGATCCCTGCTCCAGTCAGGCTAATGAGCACCCAGCAATACTGGATGGATAAAAGCCAAAGTGCAATTCACTGCTGTAAGGAGTGAGACTTTGTGCTGTTTCTATTACAGATTAATATAGACTTCTATCTAAACATTTTTCTTTACCTTTTATGGACTTGATTCTGTACAATGAAAATATTTAGAAAAACAATAAAAAGAGCAGGAATCACACTTCCGTGTGAGACCCTGGCTCGTACATGATTTAATAATTCATAGTAGTAGTAGTAATTCATATTTCCACAGCATCTAGGAGTCTCCGTCAAGGACCAAGACCCCATTGTCTCAGCACTGTACAGACAAAGAAGAAAGTGGTCCCTGCTCCGAAGAGCTTCATACTTCTTTTGCCCTGTATAGTTTCAAGTGACACTGAGAGTAAGTAGAAGTTCAGTGGGTTCCAGCACGTACCTGTAGCTGCAGGGCTCTGCCCCGTACAGACATGCTAGGATCATGTCCTCTGGCTGGTAGCCCATCCTGATCCTCTCTTGCAGCGGGACTTTAGAGAGGATGCTAGTGGACTGTAGAATGTACCATTCTGTCACCGCTTGGGCTGCGCTGGTGAAGTTCCAGTACATGCACTGGGGGATGTCCTTGTGGTGGCACTGAAGACACATGGAGTTAGATTTTAATGTGTAACTAACAGACAACCAGCAGGCAGCTGGCCTTGTGTTCAGAGGGATGGGATAACCTACAGGCTGGAGTGGCGACTGTGGCCCTCTGTAGCATTCACAGAGTATGGGGGTCACAGCATACATGAATGTAAATCCTGTGGCCACCCCCCAGCCCACTCCATCACCACTGCCCACATGGGCATTTGCATGGCTGGCATGGAGACCCTTTCTGCAGAGCAAGGACATCTAAGTGCAGTTCTGCCCATGGTCCCCAGGGCAGGGCTTCAGTGGACCTGGTGCATCTGGCCTTCACACGACAGGTGAATTTCACCTTGGAACCCATCTGCTGTCGGCTGCACCTAGCTCCGTTACCACATGACCCTGCTACTGTGTACTAAAAGATCCCTAGTGCGCTACTCCCATGGAGTGGAGAGCAGTGTACTAAGGAGCTTTCCGGGTGCGGGAGCAGAGTCCAAGCAGACTGTCAGTATGCAGTACACTAGCGCGAGAGAGATTTACACACCAGCTTGCTGTGCACTAACTGTTCATCCACACAAGCCCTGAGCATTGATCCTGGTGGGGGCCCTCAGAATCCCTAATGAATGACTGCAGCCAGAGTCCCGGGTGTGTCACCTGGGGCAGGATTAGGCCCAAAAGATTAGAAGTGAAACAAACTGGTTTTATGCTGGTGTGATTAAAAAATCCCAAACCCAGCAGCCCCCCAGTACGCCAGTGTTACCGGCGAGTCCTATGGAACGACCCTCCCGAGATGCACCAGCCTGCCGGAGCGGCCCCCAGCCATACTCCCAGTGTGTCCCTGTGCGGGAAATCATTTGATATGGGGTCAGTGTTCAGTTCCAGCCAGCTCTAAACGGAGAGAAAATGGCTGGAAATGATGCACTGAGCTGTGCCAGGGCCCCTTTGTGAGCCAGCACGGACCACACGATGCAGCTTTTCAAGAGAGAAACCTGGTGGAGAAACAAAATCCAGAGGCCCCATTTGAAGCCTCTCTCAGACGGATAGAGCCCTGCGATGAGGTTACCACGCCGCACTTGTCCTGAAAGGATTAGTGAAGACTAAGGGGGGGAGGGGCTACTGAACCCAAGAAGCCACAGCTGAGGGGAATCAGGTGGCTAAGCAATCCTCTGACTGAGGGAGGGAGTCCAGCTGAGGAGGAATGAACTGAGCTGGGACTATAAAGACAGGAAATTGGAAGCAGAAGGGAGGGCTCCTGGGAAGTCTGCAGTTGCTCCCTGGGAGAAGGGAGGTGCGTTTTGGCTGGCAAACCTGGGAGCCAGGAACATAGGACAGGACTCATGGAAAGGCTGTAAGGTCTAGAAGGGAACAGACCTTGACAGCTGGCAAGAGGATCCCAAAGCTGGAACCTGCAGTAGAGGGCAGGTCTGGGTTCCCTGCCAGCCACAGAGGGAGTGGCGCTCCGAGGCAGCAAATGGGAAGACTGCCGGCGAGGAAAGACTTTGATACCCCGGAAGGGGACACACGTATAGTGACCTGGCCGTAGGGCTGAGTCACAAAGAGGCAGTAGCAGCTTGTGGAGCTCAGACCCAGAGGCGGACAGATGGCGTGTAACGGTGGGAAGCGGCGGTGACCTTGCGAGCTATTCCCCGGAATGACCCGGCGGAGGTGCCACCTTAGTGGTGAGTGGAGCCCCCATCACAAGCCCTATCTGCCTTGCTCCCAGGGTCTACCTCTATTTATTCTCTGTATTATCATAGCAGCCAGGAGCCCTGGTCTTCAGCCGGGACCCTGGTGTGCTAGTGCTGTCCAAAAACAGAACAAAAAGACAACCCCTGCTCCAAGCAGCTCACCATGTAACGCAGCCTCGAGCGAAGTGCAGAGCACGGAGCCATAAACCTCCACTTACCAGCTTCACTGCCACTTTGTGTTTCTTCACTTCTGACGTCACGTTGGACAGGGCGGGAGAGGAGTTGTTGGGTCGGGTTCCTGAACCGCTTTGGTCGGTCTCAAAGAGATCGATAATGACGGGATGGTCTGGGTCACTCTCATCAATCAGAACCAAGGGGATTTGGTTCCAGAGCTTCAGGTCTAACTGCTGAGAAACAGTCTCGCTGGAGTTTAGTGGGGGAGCTGAGATTGTGGCCCCGTGCTTGGACTGCAGGATCCTTTCCAGGGCTGCCTCAGTGAGCTCATCCAACTCTTTCAACAGATGCCTGACCTTGGAGTATCTGAAGGACAAAGAGCAGTTAGCAGGTGCGGGAAGGTGACAGTGGCTGCAGTAGATTGAATTTCTATTGGGAACACGGAACTTAGGTAGCTTCATAAAAGTTACTGAAAAATGAATGCAGTTCATGTACGAAGTGTGATCTATGCTAGAGTATCAGAGGGGTAGCCGTGTTAGTCTGAATCTGTAAAAAGCAACAGAGGGTCTTGTGGCACCTTTGAGACTAACAGAAGTACTGGGAGCATAAGCTTTCGTGGGTAAGAACCTCACTTCTTCAGATGCAGGTTCTTACCCACGAAAGCTTATGCTCCCAGTACTTCTGTTACTCAAAGGTGCCACAGGACCCTCTGTTGCTCTATGCTAGAATGCGTATCCTGCCTGCCAGACCCTGGAGCAAGAACCAGATATAAAATTAGTGAGGCGATAAACAATCAGTGTTGTACTGATGACTTGCTGTGTTTACAGAAATAATGTCATTCTCTTTCAAATAACTCGTGTTCCGGGGTCAGCAATGGGCTAACGTACCCAGGAGCCACTCTAGCAGGAGAAGACACAAAACTCAACCCACTCATTGTGGGTCTGCTCTGAGTTTTGGGAGACAGACTGGGGTGTACTTTACACTTAGGGCCACGCCTCTGCTCTGTTATATTGATGTAAATTTAAAGTACCTTCAGTGAAGTCATTGGACTGCCTGATTTCACAGGAGTGACTCTGAATTTCCATTGGAGTAACTGAGAGCAGATATTGGCCTTTCGTGGCACCCAGATAATGGGGTTGGGTTGCAGAAAGTGTTTTCATTCATTTCTTTTGTTTCCATTTGTTTAAGGGCTTGCTGAATTACAATGGACACTTTCCGAAATCCCATATCTTTGCAATTGAGATGGAAAAGATTTATAGTGCTAGGCCCTGGAAATGTTACTGAGCAAGTCAGCTTCACAGCTAATACTGTATCACTTGGTGCAGCCAGGGAACTCACTTGTAGGGGCTGGCATTGCAGACTGTGACTGCTGGGAACTTCATGGTCTTAAACCCTATAGACAGAGATGAACTGACACTGTAGGAGAGGTATGTGTCAATGAGGATCCCCCATTGCCAGAAGACGAGAGATGCGAAGAGCAGAGTCAGGAAAAACCAGATGACTTTTTTCTTTGGCCCCTCTCGGATGATGCGCTTGGGCCCATGCGTGTTGGTGTTATCGCAGTACCAGACCAGCAGCTCTTTGTATGTGTATCCCGGCCCCTTCTGGAGACGGTGCAGCACTCTAATGAAATACCTTTTAAAGTTCATTGTCATGCCTGTGAACATGCGGGGGAAACAGAACTGGTTAGTCTTAGGCAGCGGGATTTAAATTACTTGCTGTATTCTGCTTGTAGGAGTCCTTCAGATGGGAGGCTAACCAGCAGGTGCCTTCAGCCTGTCTCTGGTAGCTCTCCAGGTGGATTTCACAGATCACAGGGGAGCGATCTCACCTATGCCCTAGTGGTTGTGGTCTGTGTTGCCAGGAGGGAAATGTGCATGAGATTCTCAGCCTCTCACTACCTGTGTTGAAAGAGACCTCTCAACCTCCCACTGTCCCGCTCCAGAGCTGGGCCTCCTCCAGCAATACTGAAAACCCTTCCCACCTAGACATGGGTACCGGAAAACATACAGTTATTGGAAGGCAAATCATACTTGCAAACCCATTCTGAGCCTATTACAGCCTAAACTGTGTAAGATCCTTGGAGAAGGGACCACTGTTTTGTCTCAAAGAACCATCATTCATGGCACTGTATGAACATTAATATATGCTACTACTGTAGACCAACCTTAGTCTTAAATCGTGATCGGCGCTAAGTCTGTTTAAACTGCATAACTCTGAACTGGTTTAGAACAGCAATTAGGCTAACTCAGTTCAACTCTCAATGTAGAAGGGACCTAAAGGGATTTGACTTGAAATGACTGGGGAAGAAGCTCCTTGGGCATCAAGTGTGTCCACCTCCCGAAAGGGGAGTAGGAAAGAGGGCTTTGGACACAGGTGTCCTTTTTCAAGCCTAAAAATGTCAAAGTGGTGAGGGGTGCCTGCGAGAGAAGGGACAATAGGTTTGGGGTTTTTTTCAGATTCCTTTGTTTGAAGATAATCTCAGTACATTTTGTGCTGCTGATGTGAGGGATGCTGCATATTTTGCACTGGAATTGTGAGTACCTGGGACATTTTATGCTGCTATTGTGAGTCGAGAATGCGTGTTACTAAATCTTTATATCCCAGAGCAGAATTTCACAACAAAAGAGAGATCTAGCTAAGAAGAAAATCGTTCAGAGGTTTAAAATGTAGAACGTCAGGATTGAAGAGCCATGTTAAATATGGTATGAAGCATACTGGGAACAGTAATACTGAAGGTTTAGCACTAGAAACGTTTCAACAGTCAGCAATATTCAGAAGAAAGAACAAATTCTGCTTTTATGCGATGTTACTCTTACTAAATGTAATCCCATGTAGATAAAATATCAAAGGAAAGTTGCTGTACAGGTTGCCGGGGTCTAGGCCATGCACACTCACATCTCTTTACAGCTCGAGAATGGGAAGACAATGCAGGCTGATTTCATTCGGTTAGATGGTCTTTTTCTCTTGGGCCTGTTCGGTGAGATGACTGCATCAGTTTGAAACCTTACCTAGCTGAGCAGAGGAACTGGATAGGAACTGAGTCATTGTTTAGGTTATGGCTCTAGGGCCAAATTCTTCCCTGGCCTGCGTGTGATGAAGTCAGTAGGATTGCACATGTGTAACTGAGAGGCTTACATAAAGAATGCAGGATTAGGCCTTATGTTAACGATAGCTCAAACTGGTGAACAATCTTGCTCCTGAATTGAGTAGCTGGAAGCAGCAGAGCTGACTAATAAGTAGGGCCCTACCAAATTCATGGTCCATTTTGGCCAATTTTATGGTCATAGGATTTTAAAAATCATAAATTTCAGCTATTTCAATCTTAAATTTCATAGTGTTGTAATTGTAGGGGTCCTGACCCAAATTGCAGTCCTGCTACCCTTACTTCTGTGCTGCTGTTGATGGGGGCGCTGCCTTCAGAGCTGGGCAGATGGAGAGCGGCAGCTGCTGGCCGGGAGCCCAGCTCTGAAGGCAGCGCCGCCGTCACCAGCAGCGCAGAAGTAAGGATGGCCTGGTATGATATTGCCACCCATACTTCTGCACTGCTGCCTGGAGAGCTGAGCACCCGGCCAACAGCCGCTGCTCTCGGCCGCCCAGCTCTGAAGGCAGCAGCGCAGAAGTAAGAGTGGCAATATGCCACCCCCCTAAAATAACCTTGTGACCCCCTGCAACTCCCTTTGGGTTCAGGACCCCCAATTTGAGAAACACTGGTCTCCCCCCGTGAAATCTGGTGCTTTTACACTATACTATACAGATTTCACGGGGGGAGACCAGATTTCATGGTCTGTGACGTGTTTTTCATGGCCATGAATGTGGTAGGGCCCTACTAATAAGTCATTAAGCCCTCATGGTTATGAGGGATGTGCTGCCTTTGCAGTTGTCATGCAGCGGATACAAACACTCTCCCTCAGTTTCCTACTCTCTTTGCCACAGGGTTCCTGTGAGTATTAAAACCAGATGATGAGCATCACTATCGTCACCAGCAATCCAGAACTGCTCTTCTCCACACCAAGTAACAGGCTGACAGTTGAGCAATCCCCTCCAGATGACTGGCTTCTATAGATAGCTTTGAATTTCAGTTCCTTACATTTCCCTTCCATTACCTCATCATTCAGAAGCGATTTGTAAATGTTAAGGAGATGTGCTCCTACATGTGACTGTGTTGACAGTGGAGTTATGGCATCCGGGCACAGTGTCAAACATACTGTAGGGGAAGAAAAGCAGGAAGTTGTCATGAATATTCCCACTGGATAAATTGCTTAGTTTTTCCCTTCTAATCAAGCTGGTGACGACTGAATGGTTCTCAGACTGCCAAGACATGAGCTTCACACTTCCGCTCCTGAATTCAGTGCCAGAACAGCAGTTCTGGGAAGAATCCAGGCAAAGAACAGCGAGGGGATGGGTGGCCGCAATGGAAAGTTCTTCCAAAATACCATGTCAATCTACCTTGAGCCTTCACGATAAACAGAACCTCTAGCGGTAAGAGGGGTGTTCCCTCTCCAAGTCCAGTGTCAGAGACTGTCAGACACGAAGATACTTTCTTTCTATTGTAAAGTTAGGTCAATGTCTGTTGACTGGGAACTGTCAGAGACCCGACCTCCTTCCACTAAGGCACTAGTGATTTTTGGTTGCCACTGAACAAGACTAGATCAAGAACCAGTGACCTGGGTGACCAGCAGGTTCCCTATTGCCAACCATCCTAGTCAGCCAGGATCACGGCACAGACTTCAGAGCTACAGGTGCTTTTCAGAAATGTTCTGAGTAATCTGAAATTGCAGATACATTCAGGAAAATCACTATTCATTAATTAGCTTTTCACTTTACTGCCCAGACAGCCACCGTTCATAATTCATAAAGCATGCATAAACTCGAATATTACAATACTGTAAAGCCTATCTTTCTTAATCCAGGATTGAAGGGTTTCCTCTTGTTTCTCTTCAAGCAAATGCTCCCCAGAAGTTTCATAACAAACACAGTATTCTCTTTAGAATAAACCACAATGTTTCTATAGTCTTCTGAATATTTAAACTATCAGTTATAATGCAGCATATGTACACCATTGAATCCTTATATTTTTATCTTTTTCAGATTAAAAACCCTAAAGTGTTTACTTATATTTCTTTGTTCACAATTTTGCAGCAGTCATTTTTACACACACACACACACACACACACACACACACACACACACACACACACACACACTCTT